AAAGAAAACCATAACCTAGACACGACACATGCCTCAAAAGCCTTTCATGTTCTTTATTGTGCTGAAATAACATTTTTCTCTGAAATGTTGCTGAATATTTGTGTGAATTCTTTTTATCCCAACAGGTGGGTGCAAGGACAGAGATAAGCATAGGAGGCTGTCACAGGGACAAGAATGGGAGACCAATACCGATCAGGGCGATCCCCATTGCCAGCTTGACCCACAAGACTGCAACTAATAGGGATAACAACTATGACGGGACCTTCCCTTTGGCGAACCGTCCACGATGCACGTGGACGCCACCCTTCCATGAACATTGGCTGGGATGCAATAGTATGCATTCTTTGTCCAGAGTAGTACTTTCAATTATTCGGTCACATGCAGTTCGGTGGATTATAGTTTACGATCATCTAATTTGTAATGGGATTATGCATGAAGATACCAATGTGAGGCACATTCAATATGGACAACCATGGGTTTTTTTCTTTCCGTAACTTGATTGGTTGGTATTTAAATAATATAGTACACCCATTGTCTTAAAATATAAGACGTTTTGTTAACAATGTGATTGAGTAATTAATAACATATATGATCGTGTGTGCCCTAGGTTATACTCATTTTCAAAGAAAAAAACATGGGATAGATTGATTGATATAATCGTTTTTGCACAACTGCTCTGAGTGTGAGTACATAAAAGTACAGGTCATGGCTTTTGCTGGGCCGGCGCGATGGCGCGTGTGGGTGTCGTCGCCCTCCTTGGAGGCGTCGCCGAGGTGCATTCAACATTTCCCTCGCTGTATGGAGTTGGTTGTTGTCTCTGGACGAAAGCCTCAATTCGTCGGATAGGCATGATGGTGGCGTCTCCGACATCGCTCCTCTATTGGGAGCAACGTGTTTGGAGACACGGCTTGGTTCCTCATTGCTCTCCTTCGATGTTCGCCGTGGTCCTATTTTGATTCTTGGTGGTGCTATGTACGGCCATAGCCGGTGCGTCCAATACGGTGGCTTCCTCGGATCTGATCAAGTCCTGCCATTTCATTTGCCACCTTCTCTTAGGCATTTAGGGCGGATGGTGTGTCAACAAGCAAAGTTCAATGAGAGAGGTGCTCCGCGTCGGTCGAGACGCGGTGTTAATTATAATCTGTTAGGACAGGCGTGTTTGCTCTGTAGTTTTTGTATGGTCGTTGGTAGCTGTCCCTGGACCTTTCTGGATGTTGTGTTCGTACTATGCTCGTCAGCGAACAATAGTCTTCTTGTAATTAAAATTCTGCCTTCTAAAAAGTTATGGTGCGCATGTACTCTTGAAAAAAAATACAGGTCACAATAATGCGAGCTCGAGAGGGCAAATCTGCAAAAGATGGCAGCCCATGAGAATCCCACATTTTTAGTCAAGATTCTCGCACTAATTTAAGGAAAAAAATTATATGAGACCAGGTCTCATATAAAGCAGGTGAGACCCGCCCTGATGGATGACACGTGGCATTCACCAATCACAAAGCATAGCTGCTTTGTGATTTATGAATGACACATGTCGCTACCCCACCCCCACCTAAAATCAGGAGGGAGATTAGATGCTTTGTGATTGGTGAATGCCACGTGTCATCCATCAGGGCGGGTCTCGCCTGCTTTATATGAGACCTGGTCTCATATAATTTTTTTCCCTAATTTAACCCGTGCGTACGGCCTAATGCCATTGCCACTGCCCCCATCCACCTCCTTCGCGCCCTCGCACTGTCACACACACGACACACTCCACTGCCCTCGCTCCTCCCCCTCCCGCACGCTAGCTGGAGGCGTTCCCAGCCTTTATAACGCGGCGAGGCCACACTGCGGATCCAAGCACGCTCGCCCCCTCCTCGATCCCCTCGCCCCCTCCTCGAGATCCGCTCGGAGCCGCCGCACCCCAGCTCCCCGGCCGGCGAGGTACGAACCCGCCGCCTCCGCATTGCCCGCCTCCCCCTCTTTTCCTCTCCCCGTCCGCCGGAGCGGATCTAGCTCCAGCTCGTCCGTTCGGCTGATTGGCCAGTGGTTTAGTTCACCGCTTTGCTATGGCGTCCGCTAGTAGTGTATTAGATTACGCAGCTTGGAGCCAGCTCTGCCCGCAGATCCGATTGCGATTTGGGCCAGGAATGGGGATTTGCCAGATTTTCCCTTCATTAACGCACGCGCTTTGTGGAGTAGTTATGTTTGCGTGCTTGCCGATAGAAGGAGATTTGCTTGCCTTTTTCATGGCTTTCCTCTTGGGAAGCGTCGCCTTGGTAGGAAACAAGATACGGAAACAACGCTTTTCTGGGACTTATTATTGAGTTTTGTAATGCTCTGCGGATCCGGCGCTTCCTTCTTTAGATCTGGTGGTTTGGTTGGTACAGCAGTATAAATTTCTACTGCTCTGGGTTCTAACGATTGTAGTTTAATTTGCTCTAGGTGCGCGCGGTGTGTGCCAGAAAGCAGCAACGCTCTGCAACCTCTGATATAAACAAGCCGCGTGCAGCGGGGGGTGGTCCTGTACATGTGCTAGCGGGACTGATGGCATTTGGCCGAGGCGCGAAGATGGACGGCAGGCGGCCCTCGTCGCCGTCCTCGTCGATGTGCACGACGACCACCGTCGTCGTGTTTGTGGCGCTCTGCATGGTCGGCGCCTGGATGATGACGTCCTCCACCGTCTTCCCGGTAGAGCCTACTTCAAACAAGAAGTCGGAGCCGATAGAGGTGTCAACATCGAATAAGAAGACCGAGGTCAAGGATCAGCGCGCAGAAGTTGGCTTTGGTGAAACCGACGAGGCGGCGAAATCCGGCAGTGTTAGCTCGGAAAAATTCGAGGACACTGACAATAATGACAATGTTCCAGATGAGTCGCATAGTAACAGGGATGCTCCTGAGGAAGAGAAGTTCCCTGAGAACGCAATGGAGAAGCCTGTCGAGATGGCTGAAGAAAAGGAACCACCAAAGGAGAAGGAGGACAGTAAGGATTCGTTCGATGATGCAAATGGAAAATCAGAAGGACAGAGTGCTAAGGAGGGTGGGGAGTCTGGTGATGAGGAGGAGAAGAGCGAGGAGAGGAAAGATAAGGAGACCACCACTGACAATGATGTTGAAAAATCCGATGCAGAGAAGAAGGAAGATCAAGAAGGAAAGTCTGAGGATGATGCAACTGAGCAGCCTCAAATCGAGGAGAAAGTGGAAGAAAGTGGAGAGAAGGAACCAGCTGCAAAAGCTAATGAGGTATTTCCTGATGGAGCTCAGTCTGAACTTCTAAAGGAGTCGAATACCGAGAATGGGTCATTCCCTACACAGGTTGCAGAGTCAAAGAATGAGAAGGAAGCTCAAGCAGCATCAAAATCTTCAGGTGATGAAATCACCTATAGCTGGAAATTATGTAATAGCAGTGCCGTGACAGATTACATACCTTGCCTTGACAATGAGAAGGCTATCAAGAAACTTCATTCTACCAAGCATTATGAACACCGTGAGAGGCATTGCCCTGCGGAGCCTCCGACCTGCCTTGTTCCACTTCCGGAAGGATATAAGCGCCCCATCGAGTGGCCCAAGAGCAGGGACAAGGTACTTCTGTCTTTTCATGATGTTTCCACAACACTGAGTAATCTTTGGTTGATCAACTTCTCCATTTGCTTATTAGAAATGCACTGTTTTTGCAGGTATGGTACAGCAACGTCCCTCACACCAAGCTTGCAGAGTACAAGGGTCATCAGAACTGGGTTAAAGTTTCTGGGGATCATCTTCTGTTTCCTGGGGGCGGGACTCAGTTCAAGAATGGCGCACTCCACTACATCGATACTATTCAGCAGGTTTATTACCATTGCCCCAATTATGACTCATACTTCCACACACGAACAATTGATTAATACTATTTACACATATCTAAGTCTCGAGGTAACTGTTGCTATCACTCCCTTGAAGGAGATTGCACATGTTCCAGGACTGTGATGCTGAAATTTGCATGTTCTTTCTATGAAACCGATATTATCACCTACTGTATTATGTTTGTCAAAAATCTATGCATTTACATGCTTATCAAACTACCGTGTGCAGGCTTTACCTGATATTGCATGGGGTAAACGAAGCCGTGTGATTCTAGATGTTGGTTGTGGAGTTGCTAGCTTTGGTGGCTACATGTTTGATAGAGATGTGCTTACCATGTCATTTGCTCCAAAAGACGAGCATGAAGCTCAAGTACAGTTTGCGCTCGAGAGGGGAATTCCAGCAATATCAGCTGTAATGGGCACCAAGAGACTTCCATATCCTAGCAGGGTTTTTGATGTCATTCACTGTGCTCGCTGCAGGGTCCCTTGGCACATTGAAGGTTTGTCTTGTTGGTGGCATGTTTTAATTTTCGATTTCTCCTGCTAACTACTCCCTCCGTTCCAAAATAGATGACTCAACTTTGTACTAACTTTAGTACAAAGTTGGGTCATCTATTTTGGAACGGAGGGAGTACTATGTACTATATAGTATGAATACAGTTTACGACAACTGGTTACTTTCAGGTGGCAAGCTTTTGCTGGAATTGAACCGACTATTACGTCCTGGTGGTTACTTCGTCTGGTCTGCCACTCCTGTTTACCAAAAGCTCCCTGAAGATGTTGAAATTTGGAATGGTATTGTACCGAACTCCTCTTTCAATATCACTCGTACCGTTATACAGAACGTTGCTGCAATATCAATGAACCGTTTCAAAACCGTCATTTTCCTCTGTTTCTTTAAAGCAGTTCAAATAGCTGTTCACTTGCTTTGGTGATCAGAAATAAATGTTGCTGCCTCTGAATGGCCACGCCTGATTTTCTATCGAACACTGCACCACAACCCACATATAGAGAAACACACGTTGCTTGTAACAGAAGTTCAAGTGTTATAAACTCTCTTTAATTGTTCTTTTTCACAACGGCTGATAGCACAAGTTGTGCTTATATTATCACAAATACAACGAACCATTGGTTAGCACTAGATGTGCCCAACTTCATGAATAGACTAGACCTGTTTAATAAAATAGTAAAACCATGCCACAAACCAACTGCAAAGTTTTTCATCTATCATCCAGGTGAACCAGATCTAACACTCAGTGCCATACTTTTTTCAGCCATGTCTTCTCTGACAAAGTCCATGTGCTGGAAAATGGTTAAGAAAACAAAGGATACATTAAATCAAGTTGGTATGGCCATATATCAGAAGCCAATGGACAACAATTGCTACGAGAAAAGATCAGAAGACAGCCCACCGCTATGCAAGGAAACTGACGATGCAGATGCTGCATGGTATGGTTAAGGCTCTTTTGCTACCTTATATTTACATATCTGAACTACTATGCCTTTTCTTAAACAATCTTGTGTTATGCAGGAATGTACCTTTGCAAGCGTGCATACCCAAATTGCCGATTGGTCCATCAGTAAGAGGATCAAAATGGCCAGAGATGTGGCCTCAAAGGCTTGAGAAGACTCCCTTCTGGATTGATGGTTCTCGTGTTGGAGTTTATGGAAAACCAGCAAATGAAGACTTCGAGGCAGACTATGCACACTGGAAACGTGTTGTAAGTAAGTCGTATGTGAATGGCATGGGAATTGACTGGTCTAAAGTGAGAAATGTCATGGACATGAGAGCCGTATACGGAGGGTAAGTAAAATGGCTTGCTTTAGATCTCTCGATGATGCATTTTGATTTCGAATCCCACTCATTTCACAAAATGTTTCATTCAAGAACACTCATAATGAGAATGGATTCACACCTCCCTTTAGTTATTTCTCTTGGCTAATGTTTTACATTTGTTGCTTTGCAGTTTTGCTGCAGCACTGAGGGACCAAAAAGTCTGGGTTATGAATATCGTGCCAATCGATTCGCCTGACACACTGCCCATTGTTTATGAGCGTGGCTTGTTTGGAATGTATCATGACTGGTGCGAATCTTTCAGCACTTACCCAAGAACATATGACCTCCTACATGCAGACCATCTCTTCTCAAAGCTCAAAAAGAGGTCAGTGTTTTATTGTCTCAGTGATTGCAGTTTCTTCATACTTGCAGAGGGAGTAAGTAGCTTTGGTTTAAACAAAGAGTGAGAAGGATTTATTTGCTTGACGTTGGACTAGCATTTCCCACCGAATACTTTACTTTTACTGGCTGGTTATTAGTATATTCTTCTGCAAGTATATGTGCTACTGAACTAATGTACTGATTCCAAACTGACTGCTGCGAATAGTTGAGCGAAAAATAGGGCTCATTTGTATCCTATAGCAGTTTTTGCTATGATGCCCATGCTGTGGTGAAATTCTCTTTTCTCCACTTTTTGGAGGATTCCGAACATCAATTCATAGCTCATGAGAAGATTCTTTTGAAAACTCCAAGAAACGTTTTTATTGAAATATTCGTGCAGTGCATCCAAATACCTCTCTGTCGGGTTTAATCTCCCTTTCGAAAGAAAAACACTCTGTAGATGCTACCCAGTTCCTATTTTTATACTGTTCCTGGGTTTCTCCATTCATTCATCAGAGTGGGCCTCAAGTATTTGAGTCCTACAAGGTTCTTGTATAAGTGCCAACAGCATAAAAATAATTAAAAATAAGTAGCAACAGCATGTTTGTGTGTGTTGCATAACTGAATCGTCTCATGCAATTGCTTTGTTCGTTCTCAGATGTAAATTGCTGGGAGTGTTTGCCGAGGTTGACCGGATATTGAGGCCAGAAGGCAAACTGATCGTGAGGGACGACGCAGAGACAATAAGCGAGCTCGAAAGCATGGCGAAGTCCCTGCAGTGGGAGGTGCGCATGACCTACGCCAGGGGCAAGGAAGGGCTGCTCTGCGTCCAAAAGACCACGTGGCGGCCCAAGGAGATCGAAGCAAGCATGTAGCGAAACATACATTCAAGATAAACCGTTATCGGTTAGTGGGTACGTATTACACTAGACTGAATTTTGGCCCTAGGTATAAGCATATGATTCTTGTTGATGCTAAGAAAGGCAAAAGCATTGTGCAGCTGTAGAATCATGTATGTGTTTTTTCGCCCAGTGAGGGCGGCCTTCCATTCTTTCTTTTGCTTGGACAACATTTGTTGTAAAATGAATGTAATGCTGTACTGGAAGTCGATAGGTAGAGCCACGGCACTGAGGGTGGTATCAGTTCTTAAGGAAAACCTCACTTCTGGTAATGCTATGGCTGCGTGATGTCACTTTGTTAGTGGAGCAGCTGAGAAAGAGCTTATGGCTGCGTGCATTGCTTGATGTAGATGCCTGGGGACTGGGGTAATCCTCCTTTTCAAAGTAAAAAAAGAAAGATGTGAAAGAGCCAAACCTGCACTGCATGAACACTGGGAGGAAATTGTTACTATCCTACCAGGAGATTCAGAGAAACATCACCTCTTATGCTTCTAGAGTTCTACTAGTTGCTATCAAATTCCAGATCCATATTACAAGCAAGCAGTAGAGCCCTAGAGGAAGAGAATGAGACAGGAGGAAGCTCCACCCTAGACAGGGACCTTCATTTCAAATTTGTGATCCATTGGATGCCGGGGACTGGACGAACTGGGGTTATTTATCTTACAGCTCGCTCACACTTACAGCCATGGCCCACTGTCAGTATTTGATCCACTGGTGGTCTCCCTGACTTGCGGTTGCGGGGGCCGCCATTGCTCACTCTCGTCGGATACAGTGCCTTCCCCGCACAAGACACGCCTGTACAATTTCTTCAGTTTCGTCAGTTAACATCTTCGGTCTGCTCTCGTCTTCTTCTCGTTCCGCCGCTGCCGCACGCTCAGCCAAGGCATGGGTCTCGTCGCTTCTCCGAGCGGCGCTGCATCCCATCCGGGCTGTCACAGAAAGCTACATACACACACCTGCGAGATATTCAGGACGTGGCGTGGCCGGAAGCCGTCGAAGCAGCAGATCGCTCGGATCGCGATTGCACCCGCGGAACCAAACAACGGCGCCCATTCCCATCCCGCCGGGTTCGCCTTGGACGGCATCGGCACGCACGCCGACGCTCCGCTCCAAAAATGGCAGCTCCGACGAAGATAAGCGCGAACCATATACAAACAATCTCCGATTTCCCGCCGCATACAGGACACGGAGAGAAACGGGACCACGCCGAGCCGGGCCACGGGAAGAGGAGAGATGCTCCACGGTGGCCTCCGCGTGGCGCAACCCAACAAAAGCCGGCGATTCTCTTCTCCAACTTGATACCAACTACCAAGCCGCAGCGTTTTGTGCGAGAGAGATGAAAGCAAAACCTTGATGGCGTCCGTCCAGAATGGAAATTTCGGGAGGTCCTATTTGCGTGCAAGCGTCCATCCACCCTAGTATTTCTTTCGTGTTCGCTTGACCGCGACGGCTAGTAAGGGTGTGTGCAATTGTTGATAAGACAATTTTATCTTAGCCATGCGACATACGTAGTTTAGAAATCGCGATTAAAAATGATGTACAATGAATTATCTCTTGCTCTTGTCTCTAATCTAATAGTTATCTCTCCCTTCTTAAATATAAGTTTTTTTTTATAGATTTCAATATGGACTGTATATGTATTTTAGAGTGTAGGTTTATTCATTTTGCATCGTATGTAGTTCATATTAACATCTTTAAAAAAAGACATATATTTGGAAACAGAGTAAAAATCTCTAAATATGTGCTAAGATCATTGTTGCTAAGAGGTTATCTCTTAGTATTTCTTAGATAAGAGAAGGTAGGCATTTCTTTTATGTTTTCTAAGTTGGAGGCGAAAGAAGACGAAGCAGAAAGCAAAGGCATGAAATGCGTTTATATATATTATATATATATTCCATGATTTCCATGGTATGTACACTAGGTGAGGCGAGAAGGGGGCATGCATATGGCGAGTCGTGACAAACAAGGCTAGGAGGAGGGAACGCGAGCCAGCGTCCAAAAATGGAAGGTGGTGTGGGGCCGGAAATCCACGTGGGCACCACTCCGCCCGGGCCCACCGCACCTGAGAGGGGGGCGCGCGCGCACGTGGGCTGGTCCCGACAAAAATTCCGCGTCGCGATCCTCGGGGCGAATCAGCCCGTGGATCGATCGGGTCAGGCGAGGCGATCAGGCCGCCTGCTGGGCCGCCGGGGCGGGCGGCGGCGGCGAGGTGGAGGAGGAGAACCACTGGGTGAAGGCGTCGAGGGTGCGCGTGTCGGCGCGGTAGTGGCGCTGCGTGAAGCGCATGAGGTCGGCCCAGGTGAAGTCCGGGTACCGCCGCGGGCTCCTCAGGCCCGGCGGCGGCCGCACCACGCGGTCCTCGCGCGGGCACAGGAAGAAGGCCAGCGACCGCCGCTCCTGCCGCCGGTTCACCACCGCCCGGTGCAGGCAGCTCTTGTACCGCCCGTTCGACAGCGCCTGCATGCATGCAAACAACAAAGAAAGCGCCGACTGTTAGTCAGACCACTCAAACGTACGTCGGCTTTCCCGTTCCGTTTCGACGGCTAATCATTTCCGAGGCGCAAGCAAAATTGACGCGCGAGACAAGGACGCATCGCCGCGGCCGTCCCTGGCTCCAAAAAGCAAATGCAGTGTAACATGAACTGTAAATAAAACTGACTACGAAGGCGGGAGGGGCCTCGATCGCGTCGTGTGTGAACCACGCGACGAGCGGCAGCGCCCACGTGAAGCCCGTCCGACGGGGCGGCGGCCGGGAGCACGGCGCACGTGCATGGCCGTCGCCGTCGACGAGGAGGGGCGGGAAATTAACAGCGACAGACGGAGTGGAGACGCGCCGAAACCAGCAGGATACAGTGCCGTGGGGAAACCTTGTACCGCGCCGTATCTAGATCAGCTGGCCGAGGCCGACCGCCGACGGGCCAAACACCAGGGCAGGAAAGCCCGGCGGCAGCATCCGGCCCTTGCCATGGGCGTAGGAGCAGATTCAGAGCGCGCGCGCGCGCATGCACCTGGGTTGGCCCGCCACCGAAAGCGCCGCCACCTCACCGTCACCGCCGCTACTGTACAAAACCACCAGGCCTACATGGCTTGCTATCCCCTATCTTTTCCCGCGCTCTGATTGGCTCCGCACCTAGTGCTCGCACCCTTTTTTGGACGGACGGATAGATAGATGGAATAAAACCCTACTTTCCCAGACCACTAGAAATGGATACGCTGATCCATGTACTACCACGTCTTCATCGGTAGAATTGACGAGTCTAAAGTGATGGCGATTACCACTACTCCCTAATAACAGGTTCCTTCAGGCATCGTCCTAGGAAGGAAGGGATGATGATGATGAGGACCGCTACTCTCTCCGTTTCTTTTTACTTCACATATACTACTAGTAAGTTATACGTGCATAGCATGTGAGGGCTTGCTTAGTCAAATTACAACTAAAGATAGACATGTTGGTGTATTAGTTATAGCAGAGGAATGGAATTGTTAGCCATATGCATGACGTATAAGATGCAAAAATCACGTCGTGTGTATTTTGTCTAGGTGTCTTTTTTGGCTATCTCAAAGCTAATGTTCTATCCACAAAGATAAAATAAGATTTATGAACGTACATAGGCTTGAAATACGAAGTAAAAACGAATGACAGTTTGGATAAAACAGAAGTTAGGAGAGTCTTGAGTATGCAAGAGGCTATAATAAAGTAGAAGTGTGCTTTAAAATTCTGTGCAAAATGTCCATATAGCGTATGCTCATCCATAGATTCTTCTAGATAGTACACATGGCAAAATCCGGTGAGGTAATGAGAAGATCCAACGGTCAGCAACACAAGGATTTGCCACCTCTCTATGGTCGGTTTGGCTTCATCTAACGGTTGTTATTTAAAGTTATTCGTACATTATATAGTGGTATAAATTTGTGTGGAACCAAACTACACCAAGTTTGACATATTACCCCCCAACGACTTATACTTAGGAACGGAGGGAGTAGTTTACATTACAAAAATTCCGACATCTACAACACCAGAGTTTTAAAGTACAAAAAATAACTTCATGATGCCTCTAATAATATTGACTTCATGTTACAAATGTTGATATTTTTTCCTATAAAATAGACCAGGCAAATTTTATATACAAACTAAAAAGAAATGGATGAAGTATGTCAGTTCGGCGCTTGTTTCTACCACTAACTACTACTGCCTTCGTCCCATAATAGTATATAGTAAGATATTTTTGCAAGCTAAGATTGCTTGCATACCCGCAAAAGAAAACATTGCTTGCAAAAACGTCTTATGTTATGAGATAGATTAGTACCAACTAGTGCATGTTAATTCAAGCTGTCGAGTCTTAGAATCTAATAATGAGCGTTGATTGGCGCTGAGAAAGAAAATAAATCACGTACGTCATGTCAGAAGCTTTACGGTGATAGGCCTACCAGCGGCTCGCTTGTTAGGAAGCAGAGTGCAATCACGTCATGTTAGTAGGCTCCCACGGCCCCTCTCTCTTTGTTCCGGAACAGCGAGGCAGTTTTTATGGGCCGGTTCGCTCGTTAGGAAGCAGAGCACAGCGGAACAGAGCACGGGTAGTTGACTACTGTATACCCCCCCATTAGTGAGCGAAAGCAACGCCTGATACGAGCAGCAGTAGCAATTACCATGAAGGTGTCGCCGATGTTGATGACCATGGCGCCGGGGACGGGGCGGACGGGCCGCCAGTCGCCGTCGACGAGGACCTCCAGCCCGCCCACGTCGTCCTGCAGCAGGATGGTGAGCGCCGTGGGGTCGCAGTGCGGGCCCGTCCCCAGCGTGCGCTCCGGCTCCGGGCACGGCGGGTAGTAGTTGCACCGCATGATGGAGCTGCTGTCCGCGAAGAAGTCCCGGTAGTACCCGCGCTTCTCCACCCCCAGGCCCAGCTCCAGCAGCTCCATGATCCTCAGCGACAGCTCCTTCATCTTCTCGCAGTACTCCTGGTACACCCTCCTGCACGTGTTCTCTTGTCACTACTCACCACGTAGTACGGCGGCTTCAAGTACTCGTACGTGGGCGCCGATCGAACGTAGGATCGCGCGGAAACAAAAAGAAAAATGCAGTGGCGGGGATGGATTCGTGCTGGCCGGATAGGGTGGATATATTACCCCATTGGCTCGTAGTCCGGCCCGAGGGTGCTGGTGAAGTAGTCCACCACGACGGGCGCGGCGCCGGCGCGGTCGTGGAAGCCGAAGGAGAGGGTCTCCTTCCAGGGGAGCTTGGAGGCGAACCGGTCCGCGTGCGCGCTCGTGTACCCGGACACGGTCCCCGGGACGCGCCGCGCGCGCTGCTTCTCGGCCAGCGGCAGCCCGAAGAAGCCGCTCGCGCCGTCCAGCGCCGCGCGCGCCAGGGCGTCGTCCACGCCGTGCCCGGACACCTGGAAGAACCCGTGCGTGGCGCACGCCGCGGCCACCTGCGCCACGGCGCGGCGGAGCCCTGCGGCGTCGCCATTGCGCAGCACGCCCACGTCCACCACCGGCACGGCCAGCTCCTCGGCCGTGGTGGGGCGCACCTCGGCGTGGGGCCACACGAACGGGGCGGGGATCTTCGGCTCCCTCCGGAGGTCGTACACCGCGGTGGCCGCGCCGCCGTTCTTGTTGACGGCCGCCTTGGCGGCGAACGGGTCAATGCTGGGAGCGGGAGGCTGGAGGAGCAGGGGAGTTGCAGGGCTGGTGTCCATGGCCGCAGGCGAGCGCGCGCTGGCGGCGCTGCAGTGAGGCGGACGCGTGAGGGATGGTTCTTGCTGAGCGGTCTGGAGCACCATGAGATGAGAGGCGTGTGAGCTAGCTGCGAGTGAGTGTGCGGGAGAGCTGTCTGGCATGGTGGGCTATTTGTAATCGGGGGAGTGAGGGAGAAGAAAGTGGAGGAGGAATATATTTGGAGGGAGGCGAAGCGGGCCCAGGATACAAGAGACAAGAAGGTGCATACCACCAATCCACCACGAAGAGAATGGGATAAAAGCTTTTGCGGGTCTGATCCCTACACTGGACTATCCATCACCGTCCGATCATACGTTGAGATTCATGAGATCACAACTGGATGGTGATTAGGATAAATAAGTGCTTTGCTACATCTACCTAGCGACTTACTACCAAGGAAAGGCCTACGTCATTAGTTGGCAGGTTTTAATTGGTTTTAATTAGGCGCCCGGGCCCACCCTGAAATTCAGGGGGGGCAATTTAGTTATTTATTTTGCATGATAATTTGTGTCTCATTCGTATCATAAAGATTAAATGGGTATTTATTTTCAGGGATTTTTTTATGTAGGGACTAGAAAAAGTCCCTCTTAAAAACTTTTTTACCAAACGGGAGGGACTTTTTAGGGACTAAACTAGTCATTTGGGACTAAATGAAGAAGACTCTCAAGGAGAGTCTTCTTGGGATTTTTTGGGACTTTTTCAACAATGCCCCTCCATGCACCCATTGGCCCGCCATCCCATGATGTTGTTTGATTGTTATTTTTTTATATACTAGAGGCAACATGATCATTTAATAACCTCTAGGAAGGGATTAGGAATTTTTTAGTCTCCGGAAACAAACAGGGAGGGAGTTTTTAGTTGGGACTAGAAAAAGTCCTAGGACTAGAGAACCAAACACCACCTAAGTACAAGTCACATAAAGACCGACATGACAAAACTGAAAACACAACATAATGCTTGACACCAACGCCGCCTGTCACCTGTCTCCGGCACCACTACAACAGCCACCGAAAGAAAAAAAATGACGGATCACCTTCTCACCCGAGCTCGACGCGGCTCCATCGATGATATGCAGCTTTGCGGACTTTCAAGGTGGCTTGCCAAAGGCGAAACCATCACCGTTGAACGAATCAAACCAGGGCAACACCCCAGACACGCCACAAACTTAGGGGAGGAGGGTAATTACGTAGGTTGCGTACAAAGCTTTTGTAGGTCTAGCATTTTTGGATAAATAAATACGCGTTGAGGGGTTATTCCTAAGTAACGGGCACCCGTGAGCTGCACAATTGACGGCTGACGCCTCCTCTTCCCCCGAATGTATCCATTGCATCGGACAGTAAAATTGTACTATAAACGTCCTTAAAATACCAGTTTTCTTGGCAAAAAAAAAACCAGTTTTTTTATGTAGCACATACAAACGACGTGATATCATGAAATTTGAAACCAAAACTCGAAACCTAGCTCCGAAAACAAAGATGACAAATTTGCCGCAATAGTGATAATTGGCCAAAATTAAAGCCCAACCTTACATTAGGTACTATTAAGTGCCAATTTTCTCCATTTTTGCTCTCGACTTGTGCTAAAAATTTGCTCTCGGCCCATGTCATGCATTTTTCAAACTTTTAAAAGCATCAACAAGTGTTGGGCACGGTGGGTACACAAGATGCTCCTCCCTCCCCACAAACTTTAAGCTTAAGAATAAAGGAGCATTCAAGTCTGAAAGAGGATTTGCAAACTTCTAGCTCGAACCAACAAAAAAGTTTGTCATTTGCCTAGCTTTACATATAAAGCCAAACAACTGAACCGGTACAAACTAGTGACGGAACCGTCATACAAGCCCGCGAAAAAAACATCACCTAAGCAAGGGCACAACTGCACCCAACCGAACATTGAGTGTGAAAACTGGAGACGCCACACCTAACAGGAGACAACCAAAACTATTGGACATACCGGATACCATAGTGCGAAACACACAGAGTCATCTCTGGAAAAGGTCGACTCGTCATTAAGAAAGTCCCTCACTTCGGGTCGTGGAGCACCGCCCTGCTAGGAGAGAGCAAGAACATAAAACATGTGCCAGAAGCACAAGTATAAACGATAGAATACTAACAGGATCACCTCACGCTAGAGTCGAAGACACTGCAAGGAAGAGACAATGCATGCCCAAAGCCAGCGGACAGTTGCAAGCGGAAGGGAGCGAGGGTCCACGTCGATGCTCTCAAGAGAGTGATGACGCCAAGTGGGACCGCCGACGAGCCTCGAGAGTACGATGAATGGTTTTCACCAGGGGCCCGGGCACTAAGAGGAGACCCAAAACAATGTTCCCAAGAGGGAAGCGACACCCATAGGCGCCACCATTGTCGGTGTCGGAGTGCAGAGCTTTCTCTCAAACCCTCACATGTGCCACCGGTAGAGCCAAAGTTGCAGGCCTAACCCGTGAGGGGTGACCACTGACGCCAGCGCAAGGCCTCCAGATCCAAACCAGGGAGCCACCGCCGTCGAAGCCACGATGGCACCTGCATCATCCGCGACCCCACCTCTTGCTACACTCATAGCCAAGAGCATACACCACCAAGGAGTTTGCAACGTACCTCTGCGTAGAGCCAATCATGTAGCCTCACCAACCAGATACGTCGCCCCGGCTTCCAGGAGACACACACCACCGTCGTTAGGGCACGAGGCCGTCAAAAAGTAGGCATTTTGAGATGAACAACGCAAGGACGGAGCCGCCCTGTCGTAGCATCACCACGGTCAGGGCCGACCAACAAAGATGTCGACCCACAAGCAGAGGACAACCCGCTACAAGTGGCCATTTCCCCTCTGGATCCGGCTCCACCACAATTGGTACAAGGATCACCACCACTAGGAATAAAAGCAACAAAAGTTCAAATCTAAATTGAGATCACAAGTCGAGATAATGTTAATGGGCCTAGTTAATGCAATATGATGATTTGCTATCATTAAATTTAATTTGCGAATTTTAGACAAGTAGGTGTTTTTCTTACATGATTTGCTCAATTCCTTTTGCGGGTAATGATTTGCTCAATTAGTTTTGTGTAGAGGTCGGGTGACGACTGAGAAAAACACGTTTCACTCAACTATCTTAGGTTTTAATTTTGATTGTCTTACTGAGTGTCACAAGGCGGCGTGTGGCCAGCCCTCTAATTGTGTCTCCCTCTGCCGCACGTACACAGATTGATTGCTTCTGATGCCGTAACACGCGATGATGTGTACTCCATCATTTTTCTTAATGTAGTGTGTATATACTTTTAAAAAAGATCAAACTTTACAAATTTTGACCAGATTTATAGAGAAAATTATTTATATCTATAATTCTAAATATATAAAATATGAAAGTACATCTTATCACGAATCTAAAGATATATGTTTAACATTTTAGATGTAAATATACTTTTCTTCATAAGTTTGGTCAATATGGAATGGATGGAGCAGGAAGCTGCATGCATCGCGCGCACGAATATACATTGACTGGGACTTTCTTAAGTCTTGGTCAACTGAGATTTAGCAATCCCATTTCTTTTATTATTACCGTTGGTGCGCCACAAGATAAGACAAGTGCACCCGATACTACTACATCCTCCGACCAGAAAATGTTGGGGAATGTAGCAATAATTTAAAATTTTCCTACGTGTCACCAAGATCAATCTATGGAGTCATCTAGCAACGAGGGAGGAGTGGATCTACATACCCTTGTAGATCGCGCGCGGAAGCGTTCAAGAGAATGGGGTTGATGGAGTCGTACTCGTCGTGATCCAAATCACCGATGATTCTAGCGCCGAACGGACGGCACCTCCGCGTTCAACACACGTACGGAGCAGCGACGTCTCCTCCTTCTTGATCCAGCAAGGGGGGAGGAGAGGTTGAGGAAGATGGCTCCAGCAGCAGCACGACGGCGTGGTGGTGATGGAGCTGCAGTACTCCGGCAGGGCTTCGCTAAGCTCTATGAAGGAGGAGGAGGTGTTGGAGAGGGAGAGGGTGGCACCAAGGCGTAGGTTGAGAGGCCCTCCTTCCCCCACTATATATAGGGAGCCTAGGGAGGGGGCGCCGGCCCTAGGAGATGCAATCTCCTAGGGGGGGCGGCGGCCAAGGGAGGAGTCCCTCCTCCCCAAGGCACCTAGGGGGTGCCTTCCCCCTTTGGGACTCTTCCCCTAGGGTTTTCCCACCCTAGGAGCATGGGCCCTAGAGGGAAGTGGCGCCCCAACCCACTTTGGGCTGGATCCCTTCCCACTTCAGCCCATGGGGCCCTCCGGGATAGGTGGCCCCACCCGGTGGACCCCCGGGACCCTTCCGGTGGTCCCGGTACAATACCGGTGACCCCGAAACTTGTCCCGATGGCCGAAATAGCACTTCCTATATATAATTCTTTACCTCCGGACCATTCCGGAACTTCTCGTGACGTCCGGGATCTCATCCGGGACTCCGAACAACATTCGGGTTACTGCATATACATATCCCTACATCCCTAGCGTCACCGAACCTTAAGTGTGTAGACCCTACGGGTTCGGGAGACATGCAGACATGACCGAGATGACTCTCTGGTCGATAACCAACAACGGGATCTGGATACCCATGTTGGCTCCCACATGTTCCACGATGATCTCATCGGATAAACCACGATGTCAAGGACTTAATCAATCCCGTATACAATTCCCTTTGTCTAGCGGTACGATACTTGCCCGAGATTCGATCGTCGGTATCCCGATACCTTGTTCAATCTCACTACCGGCAAGTCTCTTTACTCGTTTCCGTAACACATCATCCCGTGATCAACTCCTTGATCACATTGTGCACATTATGATGATGTCCTATCGAGTGGGCCCAGAGATACCTCTCCGTCACACGGAGTGACAAATCCCAGTCTCGATTCGTGCCGACCCAACAGACACTTTCGGAGATACCTGTAGTGTACCTTTATAGCCACCCAGTTACGTTGTGACGTTTGGCACACCCAAAGCGCTCCTACGGTATCCGGGAGTTGCACAATCTCATGGTCTAAGGAAATGATACTTGACATTAGAAAAGCTTTAGCGAACGAACTACACGATCTTTGTGCTAGGCTTAGGATTGGGTCTTGTCCATCACATCATTCTCCTAATGATGT